GACTCTATTCATAGTAATTTATTTAATGACGAATTTAAACAACGACAAAAAAATCCTTCGAAAACTTAAAAATAATTAATATTAATTAATCGAGATATGAGTTGTTGTTTTTTTTTTCTTTTTTTGGAAGATTTCATTTATAATGCAAATGTTGGGTTTAAGAGGTTACATGGGTTTGGGACTTTCAAAAAAATTTTTTTTTTTTATCTTTTTAAATTCTACAACTCATCTAGAATATTTTATTCAATTTTGAAGTCAATAGGAGTAGTAGTTTTAAAGATAGAGCCTTGGGAAGTTGCACTCTTTAATGGCTCTTATACCACCACTCAAATCTTTAAACGCGTTTTTCTAAAAACGCTTTTTCTAAAGTCGGTTGTCAAGATTTCTCGAAAACTATTTAACCGATTTTGATGAAACTTGTTACACGTCTTCGTGATACTATTGACAAGGACTTGGACGAAGGATTTTCGTTTTTTTCATAAAATCGAATTTTAAGAAACCAAAATGTGGTGCAAATTGTAGCGAAATTTGAATGTTCTTGCTAAAAACGTTGCCAAATATCCAAATTTTAATTTTTTTCTTTTTCCTTCGTCCAGTTTCTAGTTTAAAGTATTCACTAAAAGACCCTATTTTTTCAACAGAAAAAGCCCCACCGTTTATAAGTTGTGCTGTCAACGCGAAAACACTTTTTTTCGGTGGGGTCACCGGAAATGACGTCGCAATGGCTAAGTTTACAATATTTTTCAACCAATAATTCAGAAAATCTTCTTTAAATATGTATCTTAAATACTATAAAAAGTTTGAATAAGAATTCCATTTTTTATATAGAAAAAAAAATTGTTGAAAATATGCTATTTTTTCCCGGTGTAAAACCATGTAAACCCTTAAGATCTCTTTTAATGTAAGATATAAATGTTGTAACATTCAAACATATATATATACATAGATACTTAATTATAACTATATATATATATTCATGCATAAAGATTAGATCGGCTTATCTTTTTCTTTCTTCCATGAAAATGTCGAGAACTTTCGGCGTTCCCATTCCCAGAACTTTAATCCGTTCTCACGCGTGTCCGATATTATGGTTGCATTTTGACTATGCGAAAAGATCTCTCTCGTGGGATCATCGTCCTTTCTTTTCCGTAAAACGAGAAACTTATATGTGTGTGTGTGTTTATGAACGTATATATAAGTATATTATACATGTGTTGTTTTAAGAAACATAAACTTTCTAAAACGTTTTGTATCTCAATCGAATCTTGTTATGTCCTTCTTAAACTAATCTATATTTACAAGTAAAAATGATGCAAATTTCTATCAAGATTTTTGGAAAGTTGTGATTTATTTTTCACATACTTATATAGAATAAATGAAAGATTAATACTTATATATTATAATAAAAATATAGTGTGTATTTAAAATACGTAGAGGAGGTCTGAAAATTGTATAATCTAGCATATAGAAAATTGTAATACAATTATACAATACATTAATCGTTTGTTAACACATACCAGATATATAAATGAAAGATCGAATATTTCGGTTTATTGTTATACATTAATATTTCAAACATACACTAAGCAAACATGTCTCCAATTTTGTTTTTTTTTTTCACTGTAACATTTATTTATATATAAAATCGTACAGTCGACAAAAGTTTTATCTCTTCCGAAATTATTGAAAAAAAATCGATAGAAAAAGATGGAATAATAAAGAAAATTGTACGAAAAGAAATTCTACATTTCTATGGGGAATTTTATGGATATCTTTTAAAAAATCGTTTGCCTTTTTTTTGGAATATAATAATAAAATAATAGAAAGAAAAAAAGAAGGAATAAACAAACCACAAGTATAATATGATGCATGTATATATTCCTAAGGCACTTTCCTTATTACCTGTAAACGTTACTCGTAAACTGAAAGAACGAACGTTCCTTCAAGAACTTGGCTTGGTGAACGGTGAACTCCGTTCTTTTCTTTCATACGTAATATTCTACGAGTATATAGAAATATATATATATATATAGTATGTGTATAGAAGAACAGTATACTACAATATCCGCTATTCCGGTTGATGCAAAACTATTCTCAGCTCAATTAGGCACAATTAAATTTCAATGGAACTTTAAATTCAAATCGATTTCCCATCGTTTCACTTTTAATTTTTATTCAGGAAGAAATATTTTTTCTATATATGTATATATGCACATGTATGTGTTTAACGTATTGGTAAACGTAACTTCCTTAAAGGTAGCAACACAATTTTCGTTTATTTTTATTACTTCAAAATTTCTCTTCAATAAGAAAAGTGTGTTTGTGTTTGTATGTGTACGTGTGTAAAAGAGAAAGAAAAAAAAAATAATAAATATCGTTGACTATTATCTAACATAATTTATTGTCCTTTTTTTATTTATCCAAATATTTAAGAAAAAAATAAATGACCAAATTATTATCGAAAAATTATATGGTATAAAAGTATTCAGCACTCAATACTAGCTATTAGAATTTATAACTTATGGCAATTACTCTTTATTATATAAGTATACTTCCTGCTCTCTCGGTAGAACTTACAAGTTAGTCTCCGCTTATTTCTGAACGAACGCCTTTTAAAGAATCTCCTTCTCAAATAATAAAGATGAGAAATCTAATGTAAGAAAGTTGTAACATATTTTTCTCCTGTATCATATTGTACACGTTGAATAATACAAAATAAGTATAATATTAATATGAAATAATAATGTGTGTGATTAACATCGATTAATATCGATTCATTATTTTACTTTATTTATTTATGAATTAAAGATAATTGTATGAATTTATTCGTAATTAATTGTTTAAACTCGTCGACAAATAAACTTTCGTACATTTTTTTTTTATTTTAATATATTGAATTACATTTTTTTTTTTATTATTAATTAGTTGATAATTAATAAACTAGTTGAAGGATTCTTTTTAAAGATAAAACAAAAATATTGTTGTTTAAAAATAATGATCAAAGAATGAAAATCTTGACTGGTATTCGTTCAACGGTCTACGTAATTACAATTTACAGTTATATACGTCCGTAGAAAGAGAAAGAAAATAAAAAAAAGGTTCAAATAAAAAACCTCGCGTCGCTTTCCCGCTCGAGTAAGAAACTCCTATAAAAATTGTTTAAGATTTGTCATAAACTCGTCTCGTGGCATACCACGTGCACTTTTAAAACCCGAGAAGGAATGCGAGGGCGCCAAACAATGGCGAAAGGCGTCGATCACGTTTCTTGAATTTCAAATAACTTCGTTGAAATGTAAGAGGACAAGGGGTTTAAAATATATATATATATATGAAATGGACAAAATTAATAACACTTCAAATAAATCTTCTCTATATTAAATTACATTAATAAATGTAACAAACAAAAAAAAAAAGATCTAAACGAATATACCCCATAAATATTATTATATTATGGATGAATCACACAAAAGAGTTATTGCAATTTTTTTAAATTAATATTTCCAAAGAGTAATTTTTACAAAAATACAATCCCGATTGTGTAACTTCAAAGTAAACTTTCAACACAATAATAATAATAATATAGATTCATCCTAATATTATTATTATTATTGATTGATAGTAAAGTTGGATAAAAATGTTTTGTTTTTTTTTTTTTTTTTTAATTTAATTATCAATATTCTTGTCGAAAAAATATATTAATATATAAGTTTCAAAGGGAATTATAGACGGTTAATAAATCTGATGAACAATTTATTTTGAACTAGTTGTACGTTTCGTYCCTTACTGGGGACTTCATCAGCAACTAACAAATTTTATTATTTTTTTGTTTTTTATATCATATTTATCAATGAATGAAAAATGTGTTAATAATAGTAATATGCACTTTTGTGAAATAATTTTAAACAATATTATCTCGAATGATATCTTGTTAAAATAATATTAATGGATTTTGGGTTGTGAAGCAAATTATAGGTCAGCCAGTATAATCAATCCATTCTCGCGTCTGGGTCACACACGTATCTACTATCTACGCTCTCACAAAACGTAACGACAAGAATGATGATTCAGAACCGCGGTTCCGGAGCATGACACGTCCCATTGCATCGAATTGACCCTATAACGATGATGGCTAACGTTGTTTTTCGACGCGTCGTTCAAGTGCGACGACCGTTTGCTTGCTTTCAAAGTAAGATTAAAAGAAAAAAAGAAACGGTAGAAAGAGAGGGAGAGAGAGAGATGTATTCAACTTCAAAGAGTGAAAGAATCAAACGCGACACTAACTGGCTTTTACCATGATCGGAAAGTTCACCTGTTGCACCGGTACTTCAACGCGTATCTATGCACAACTATGTTTCTCTATCAAATATTATTATTATTTTTTATTTTAACTGGTTAACATGGATTAATTTTTCAAATTCGTATCACTATCGAATTTTTATCAAACTTTTACTGATGGTAAAAGGAAAAGTTATGTTTAGAAATTGGGAAAGTAAATTGTGTGATATAAATTATCATTGTATATTTGATAAATCTAAATGACAAATCGTTCGTGTAACTACGATTTTAATTATATTATCTTTATAAAATTATAATTATAAATTTCCTTGCAACTTGTCATACTTATATTTATTAAAATCATTTAAAAAAAAAAAAAACGGAAAAGATATATTTATTCACATTATATGAAATTTGTGTTAAACTAACCGAATCGAATTGGTCTGAGAAATTTGACGATAATAGCTATAATAATAATAATAATAATAATAATAATAAAACATATCTTATCTATGTATCAATTAATTCCGATTGGATAGATTTAAATGATTTAAGTATTGTCATAATTACTGTCAAATTCATACCACTTTGTCATATACTTTTCCTAAATAATAATAAAAATAAAAAAAGTAATCGCGACAGAAATTAGGGTTCAACCAGGTGAACAAATTGTATCTTATGATTAAAATTAAAAACAATAATAATAATAATAAAAATATACGTACACCATCGTCTGAGAAATCCTCCTTGTAGTTTAGCGCAAATTCCACGATTTACTCGCATGATTAATCAGTTATTTCAAATGTCACGTGCACTTATTAGCAAACACCACACGCGTTCTTTCCCCACTTTTTTTTCTTCGCAAGTAAAAATAATAACAATAATAATAATAAATTATATTATTATTACTTTTAACGCACCATAGAAAGATTCAACTTAACTTCGAAGAAATATAAACGCGTGTTTCTTCACTTCTTGTTTGTAAAAAAAGTACAAAACCAAAAGATTAATTTAAACGAAACGATAAAAAAAAATAATAATCAAAGTAAGTACATATTAAAAAAAAAATAATATCGATCTCGCGATAGATTCTACTTCTAAATAATATCCTTTTTAATTTTTTGTCTTTCTTTAACTTTTTATTAATTGAATATTATTTCGTGATTTTGTTCACGTTGAGTTGACCGCGACAAGAAAGAAAGAAAGAAAGATAGATAGAAGGAGAAAGTTCAATTTCCTTTTTGCCTGAATAACACAGAAGAACACGACGGTAACCAGCTTCAAAACCCGTTAACTTTTCTCACCAAAGTAAATATACAGTTGAGTATTTTTTCTTTTTTTTTTTCGTGTACACAATGCGGGTCTCCAAGTTTCTTTCCCAAATTGACGTTTATCAAATGATATGTTGTTGTTTATGATGATAATAAAAAGAGAGATAGAAATAGAAATAATTAAGGATAAAGAAAGAAATTGAAAGAAAAAGGTTTACTATTCTATTTCTCGATCACGTTCGGAACCACACGCGTTAATGTATATTTTATTTTATTTCTTATTTTGTTGTTTGTTTATTGTATTAAATCGACTAGAACACGATCATCGTCGTGAACGAAACTAAACGAAACTTACGAACGAACGAACAAACTAACGAACGAACGAATGAACGTATTCGATCGTAGTAATACTTGCCAAGCAGTATACTCGATCAGAAAACAGGTGGAAGTGGAGTGAAGAACCATCAAGGAGAGGGAATGAACGTGCGTACGAGAAAGGAACAGTTTGAAAAGTGGGGAGAGGTTGAGAAAACCAATGGAGTGGGATTGCAAATTGAAATTAAACATTAATTTATCACAAAATGTAAAACAACTTTAATGTATTTGAAATCGAATTTTTTTTTCAAAATTAACTTTTTGTTTAATAATAATAATATTTAAACAATTGGTCGCGCGAATTGATAAAAATTACAAATTCAAAACGAACGGCAAATTTTTCTACATTCTTTTCTTTTTTTTCATTACCTTTATAATCCTACTAATAAATTATCAATAATAATAATAATATTAAACAATTCGAATATTGTTATAAAACATTATTGCAAACTATTTAGCCACTGACCAACACGACACTCCTTGATAATTTTCTTCTTACTGAAGTTGGTGTTGCTGGTTTCTCGCGGTCATACTTGCCCAGAACCACCAGGAGTAGGTTCAGGTGAACGATTTATTATTACCCCCCTCCACCCACTTTACCCCCAATGCTCTAGCTCTTTCATCCCCACTCTATTTCTTTCTTTTTCTCTTTCTCTTTCTCTTTGATTAAGTTTTTTCGTTTTATTTCTTATGCACGGATTATTTGTTTTATTTATATCAACTCTCCTCAATTGCTGGATTTTCAAATTTTTCTTTTGCCGTTAACTTATTTCTTTCTTTTTTTCTTTTTTTTATATAATTTTATACACATGCTTTTAGCATTTTAACTTTTGAATATAAATTATTATTGTCAACCAATTAATTGTATTATTCTTTCTACAATATATATACTAATATATATGCTAAATAATAACAAGATCAAATAAATTTGTTCATCAAAATTTATTAACTGTCTTCAATTTTCCCTTTGAAACTCATATATATTAATATGCTAATTATATTTCATAATATTTGTCATTTTTTTTTAAATAATTTTTATTGAGAAAAATCATTATATTATATTTAATCAGTTGTTTCTCTCGTCCAAAAATAAAATTCTTAATATGAAGGTATCATAGTGAATTAGGACATCAAAAAAAGAAATAGAACTTAATTTTAAGTTAAATTATCAAAGTTAAGTTCTACTTCTTTTTTTGATGTCCAAATTCCCTATGATACCTTCATATTAAGAATTTTATTTTTG